GCAAAGGACCAAGAAACTAAAGTGAGTGGAAACAAAATTCAATTTGTGGACAGCACGCCAGAAAAGTAGATTGTTAGAACAAAAATCAGATGGGAGGAAAGGTTAGTGAAATGTAAGTTGCAAATGTTACTGTAGCATCAATGAGTAATGAGCTGAACTGGTTACAGAGTCATCAACTAGTTTTAAGCAGGCAGTAAGTGTATGTAGCAGCCTGGATGGACTTCTGTCAGAGTCACAGTCTAGCTAGATTTCAAAAGATATTAGTGTCTTCTAATGAGGTTTCTGCATTTGGGACTGTCCTGGCTGCTTGGGGCATAGCCTACAACCTCTTCCCCCCCCACCCCTTGCCCTACCAGATTTTAGACCCACCTTGTCACTAAGTAGCTGCTGTTAGGACTCCTGTCCTTCTGAGCGATGTGAGTTGGAGCCAGGAGATGCCAGCTATTAACAAGGCCAGCAACTCTTCAGGTCATAGAGGTGCCCCTAGGTACTGTGGTCACTGCTGGGATTGGACAGCAATGGGCACTACCCTTGCAGTAAGGGAAGTAGGGTGGACATTTGCCAGGGCCAGCCAGGTGCAACCTGGTGAATAAGCCCAGGGGAGGAAGTGGGCATAGAGGGTAGCCATCCACTATTAACAGGTGCTTCCTGGGGCTCTAGAGTGGGATTCCCCCACCTCATCCCAGGAGCTTGCCAGGATTCACTAGGCTGTGAGCCAAACCTGGTGGGCAGGCCTCTCAAAATGCCAGCTCTTAACTGGTACAACTGACCTCTGGTAAGGAAGTCCACCTTCCAGCTTTCCTACTGCTGGCAGAATATCTGGGCAGTGGGATGAGATGGAAATTCCATCCCTTGCCTTCTGTCACCATTATACTGGCTACCCTGCTTCCCTGTAGGGCTGGTGAAGTCCCAGACACTGTTTACACAGAGCACAGCTGCAAGTGAACATGACAGATAATGTACTGCAATCTTTTACAAGGCCAACTTTGGAGATGGTTGGATCACTTTAAACTTTTTCCCTTAAATGTTCCAAGATTCATTTCCTGCTATTGATCAGGGAGCATCGTTCTTACACACAGAGGAAGGTTTTAATAACTTTAACTCAACAGCATAATTTGAATAAAATCTGTTAAGTTCCAAAGCCATGATTTTATTTAAGCAATGCTGCTTCCATTAACAGAGAAAGTACTCTACACAGAATTATATCACACTTGATAAACAAGCAGTTGCTAATTCTTGCTGTAGTGCAGATGCAATTCATAGTCTATTTTCTTTGGGTCTTCCTTTCTGTGAACTTTGATTACATTCATGCTGTCAGATGGAAATATCCTGCAAGCAGTTCTTCAAATCTTCTCCCTTGCTCTCCTGAAATCTCCACCTGTTTCTGGAACACAGTTCGGAGGGAGACAGTAGACATCTGTCCAGTCAAAAGCAAAGATTTGCCAGATCTTTTTGACTACCAAGGACAATCTCGGTAAAGCTGACGTGCTCCTCCCTGAGCATCCATTGCCTCATTCAGTTCCAACAGGCTGCTGCCAAAGGTAGTGATCAGGAGCAGAAACTCTTTGCTAATAACCTCCCCACACTCATCGCCCATGCACGCTTCACCATATAGAACAAAAGTGGGCTTCCAACTGCTGCCCCAGGGTGAGGTTAAATAAGTCAGTACAAACTGGGACGTAAGTTTGGGACTTGAACATACTATAAAACTCAAGGCTTACTTGATATATTTTATACAGTGATTTCATTGGTTCTGCAATGAGTGATGATACATATCTTTACTAGCATGATATTTGAGAATGGGGATTACAGTTTTTGCTTTAACAAAGTATTTATTTTCTTAAAACAAAAGAAATTCACAAAAGGAGTGACTCAAGTATGAATGTGATACAATATTCAGTCATCCACTGGCATAAGCTGTTCCTTTACAAGTCAAAGTCTTTTGGAGAGCAAGAGGGTAAAAGAGTTAGAAACAAAAAAATATACTTTTCATGCTCTCTACCTGAAGGCAGGTCCAACGTCCCACTTCCATGGCTTCCAAAGCTATAGAACCCACCATGGCCAGAGTGGGCAATGAACTCAGTGGTGTTGGCACCAATTCTTCCACACCAATGATCCAACCAACTGAGCAAGCCAGCCCACAGCAAGTCCAAATTGTTATGGTAACACCCTCTTACTATTAATGCTATTCCAATGTTCTTTCCTATAAATTGCTGACCAGGAATCTCTTACCTCCTGCCATTGGCATACATTGGAAAGATTTGCAGGTTGATACTTTTGGCTGCATTACAAAAAAATTCCAATTGCTATCAAAACCGAGCAGAACTCAAACCCAGAGTTTCTGGCTCCAAGGCTGGGACACTATCTACTGTGCTGCAAGGGAAAGAAATACAAGATTGCATTTTGGCAATTTTATCTCCTTTTTTTTCCTTCCTACTGCCCTGGGTAGACTGACTCCAGTAATGGTATAATCAGCCTCTGATATCTTCTCCAAGTGGTCAATTTTCTGAGAGTTGGAAGGCTATGGAAATGTGGCAGTTAATGCAGAGTAAAACACTAAGCACATCTTGCTGTTACTCTAAATTTGGCAAGAGTATGTTTCCAAGTTAACGTTCAAGAAAGGGAACCCTGTTTGATCTCCTTCCAGACTCCTGGATTCTGCTATTGGAAGGACATTAAGAGCGTAGACTGATTTGTACCCACTATTCCTAGCCTGCGTGACTAACATACAAGTGAATATATTAAATGAGGCTACCTTTACAGTGCAATAATTGGCTAAACTCTGTAAATACATTTTGCAGTACACTTCTGAATTTTGATGTAAACCAGGCTTTGATTGGTAGCAATTCTTAGAGCAGCTCTAGTGTAATTAATATACCTCGCCAACAGTCTGGGACAATTCATGTTTGATGGGACTGTCACTTTCTAATTGAAAGTTGCCAAAGTCATAAAGGGTGCTCACTGACTTCACAGTATAAAGAAATATCTTTGATAACCATGGCATCATTATTTACAAGATAATCTTCCAGCCAAAATGCAATTATATATAATTGTTGAGTAAATACCTGGTTGAACAAGGTATATATTTACTGCAACTAATTTAGTGGCTTGAGCAGTACAGGCTATCAAGCAAATAGGTTTTTATAATTTGCTAAGAATATTGCTTTTGAAAAACAGTGCAGTTTTTGAAAGGACAATTCCTTCAATGAAATCCTGGAATAGATTTCCAACATTAAGTATCCCCTTAACACAACTTCAAACTACCTCTCCTCTCAGTAGGATTCAATCTGGTATTCATCAACTTACAGCACCCAATTAATTCAACAATCACAATAAGAAATACAGCATGCATTTTACAAAAGCAAACACTCAAAACAATGCATGTGGCATTGGCCTGAATGAATCTAGCTTGATGAGCTGTTTTACTTTTCCTGATCATCTGCTCAATCTGCTTCAAATGGTATCCTCAAAATAGAAGCATGTGCTTGTAAGAAACAGAGGGCGATGGGAGTTAATGAAAATGTTATTAGGTAGGAGACTTTAGATAACCTGAAATAACCTTTCTAATAAAAAACACTTTAAACAAACAGCAACATTCTTTACATAAAAGACTCAAAGTTTCAGTCGCACTGTCTGAATGCTGTTCATATGAAGGAATTTCAGGTGTGGAACTGATATGAAAATAGGGTCATAAGTAAGTGTTTACTGCACAGAAAGTGACCATTCATCCTTTCAGGTCCATACTGTGGCTACGCTCCAAAAAAGCATCCTCTCATCTGCATCAACAAATCCATTTTTAAAATGTATTTTTTAAACTCAATGCCGGACATCACTGACTAGACTAATATCTTGGAGCCTGACTCTAACTGGCCTGGGGACGGTGGTGGGGAGCATGAGAAATTGGATCTTCCTATCTCCTAGAGACTGGTTTCCCTATTGAATGAGCTGTCTAAATCAATGGAGTACAGCTCCAGTCCAACATGAAACTAAGCTTAGAAAGTCACTGGGTGTTTTGTTGAACCTCCTGAGCACTTTAAAATTTTAAAATGTCAATAAAGTGTGCACCCTCTTGTCTGCTCCCTCCTGTCAAGAAACAAAATGATCATCAATCTGAAATGTTAACTCCTCTCCACCAGGGGGTGGTAAGTCACAGACCATGGCTTTTAGAGCAGTACTGCAGGCCTGAAGGGGGAAGCGAAGGAAGAGAAGGTCTAAGTTTTCCTGATGCAGCCAAGAGAAGCACTCCTGCTGCTCCACTGCATCGGTGTAAGTTTCTTCTATTCCGAGATCCTTATGCTTTCACCTAAGAAGAAAAACCAAAGCAACAACAAAGAAGGGTCTAGGCCTGAAACAGCTTTCCTGCTCCTCTGATGCTGCTTGGCCTGCTGTGTTCATCCAGCTCTACACCTTGTTATCTCGCAACAACAAAGCAACCAAGTAACAATTGTGGCTGCTGTGTAGGGTCTCACTCATCCTCTGTCTGTATAATTAAGACAAACTTCCTTGCCACTTGCTCTAAAGAGATTAAAAATTCTGATTGTGGGTAAGCCATCCTGACCTTTTTAAAGGCCCAGCCTTAAATCCCTGAATGGAATGGGTTAAAATCTCTCGCAAATGTCCTCCAACTTTTGCCTGGCAAGCAAAGGGAGGCCTGCGGTATAATTACAGCCTTGATGGCCACACTTAAACCTTCATAGTTACTTGCATCAGCCTTGTAATTTCTTATAACCACAGTCTTGACAACTCGGTCACAAACTATTGGTAAGCCAGCAATATTGGTATGGTTGTGGATTGTACTGTATGTAAATAAAGCGTCTGTCCTTGAAAGCTGAAGAAGGATTAATAATAAAGGTGATTTCTGCCGCCTCCAATTTCTTTTGAACAAATTAGGTTTCTGTTTCTGAAAATATCTTATTACAAACTGGAAGGACATAGCTTAACCATCTCATCAGAAAACTGTCCAGAAATACAATGTTACAAGAACGTGAAATTATAAAAGGTCTGAACAATTTTATCCTGCTGCAAGTTCTAGGTGAAATCTTCATAGTTCTCATTGATATGTTTTGAAATGTCTTGTGCTGTATTTTCCAATATCATACATGTCCACATTTGCAATACAAGTAGACATGCCAGTATGTCATAGTATAACGTAGTTTAGTGAAGATATTTTACCATAAATATTGCACTGTTTAACAGAGAGCATATTTAATATCTGCATTGAGTGAATAATGATAAAACAAAAGACTTGTATTTAAATATAATAAAATTCTAAAAGGTTCCTGTAGTGCAATTTAGAATGTGAGCATTACTGCAATTCTATTCTTCAGTTATTCACACTTATGCAAAAAAGCTTAATTTAACAACGCCACTTAGATGCATCAAGTATGGTGAATATAACATCCCCTTGTACAGAGCTATGTGGGGGGAAAAAAATCACAGTACTAAAACGTACAATGTGCAAGGTAAATGCAGACAAATTAATGTCCCTAAAAAACAAGGTTCAATTGGTCTCTCGCTCTTTTTATCGTACGTGAGAATGACAGGAAAATGCACTGTTACCATAGAGTTGCTTACAGTTAACATCGTTTGAGTCGCATGAGTTTTTGGAAAGCCTGTTTGAAGTCCTCATTGAAAGCTGTGTATATGACCGGATTGATGAGTGAATTCAAATAGCCAAGCCATGTGAAGAGGTCGGATAGCACAGGATGAAACCAGCACGCGTCTTTGCAGATGCCCATTACCAAGGCCACCACAAAGAAAGGGAGCCAGCAGAAAATAAAAGCACCAAGGATGATCCCTAAGGTTTTGGTGGCCTTGCGCTCTCTGGCTGCACAGATCCTCTTTCTCTCCAGGACGCTATCTGACACTTTGACTTTGATGTGGTTCAGGTAGACGGGAGATTCACCGGAATGAGGCAGAGTCTCCTGGCTGTTAAAGCCAACAGAACAGAGAGAAGATCCGGTTGATCCGCTTATGAGCTGTACTGTAGTAAAGCGCTTTCCGAAGGCTGAAGGCGGTTTCTGAATCCTCGATCGAGCTGCCATGTAAATTCTGCCGTACAGTATAATTAGCAGCACGCTGGGGATGTAAAAGGCTCCGAAAGTGGAGTAGATAGTGTAGAATATCTGGTCGGTGTTGACTACGCACTCCTTGAGTTCGTTGTGAGCTTTCGACTGCCTCCAGAATAACGGGGGAATGGAGATGCAGATTGAGATGACCCATACCACAGCTATCATCAGGCCAGCTCTACCCGGTGTGCGACGCTTTGTGTACTCCAAGGCATCAGTGATGGCCCAGTACCTGTCCAGAGCAATGACACACAAGTGCAAGATAGATGCAGTACAAAACGTGATGTCAGAGGATAGCCAGATATCACACATGATCTGCCCTAGAGTCCAGGTCTTGATGACAGTGTAGACAATACTGATGGGCATCACCATGATAGCCACTAGGAGGTCTGTAACAGCCAGAGACCCGATGAGATAGTTGGCTGGAGTGTGGAGTTTCCTGGTGAGGCAAATGGTGACAAACACGAATGAGTTGGAAAGGATGGTCGCTAAGGTGATGATACCCAGAACGACAGACAGTGAAATCCTCAGCCCTAACTGACTGTTTTCATTCCAGGTGATTAGCATCGCCGAGGAATTTTCCGAGGAATTAGTTATTGTAGCTGGAAGAGAAACTAAAGTGGACGAGTTATCGTGGTCCATCGTCAGTGAGATCGATTGGGCAGATTTGAATAAGAGTCATTGTTTGTTTCCAGCCCAGTTTGCATGCAGCATTGCTATCATATTCTTGACAAAAACTACACGGCAGCTGTTTTCATTCCCGCTTAGACTCATTGTTGATCCATCTTCACATCCAATATTTCATATCTATTTCATGAAAAAGAAAAAAAACAACTTTATAATGTCATAAAGCTGATACCGTATATCCAAATAGTAGCATTCCCGATTGAGGTTATTTTAACAGTGCCAATTACTACAAATTGAGATTATCTGCATTGAAGTCAGAAGTAGTATATTTGCACTTCAGCTATTGAAATTAAGGGTAGATATGTGTCTCATTAATAAAAAAGATAATTGGACATTAACACGATTTTTAAAAATGTAATGCAATTACTAATGATCAAAAAAAATTATTTCATGCCTTTCACAACTATAGGATGTCAAAAATACAGTGACTTCAATTATTTTCCCTCACAAAAGTATGGTCACTATTGTAATACAGGAAACACTGCAGCTAATTTGTGCATAGTAAGCTCCCACAAGGAGCAGAGTAATTTCTTTCAGTGATGTTGCTTGAAGGATAAATATTGGCTGGGACACTGGGAGAATCAGAATCCCAGGCAAATGTTTAATCTGGAGGAGTACTGCATTCCCTTTGTCAGCATAGGACTATCAGCCAGGAGTTTAAACTCAATTCTGTGGAGTTGGACTTAACCTTTTGACTTCCAGGACAGGCTACCTACTGAGCCACAACAGGCAGGAAATGTACAGCAGCCTGCAGTTCTATTCTGAAGTATAATTTTCTTGACTGCGCTGTTACCTCTTCCATGTCTGGTTTTCTCAAGGATTAATCGTTTCTGCATCATCTGTTGTAGGCATTCTGCTGTTTATTTAAATCCATCCCCTTGGCACAAGAGACAATTTTAAAAATATTTTAAACAAGCATAACGTCTGGAAGGAAGAAAATAAGGTTTCTGAACACCGTTAGTTCCAGTGTCTCAGAATCTCTCAAGACAGATGGGAGCCATTCGGCCCATTGTGCCTATGCTGGTTCTTTCAAGGTGTTACCCAATTAATCCTGCTCTCCTTCTCTTTCCATACAGCTCTGAAATCCCCCCTACCCCCCACTTCAGGAGGAAAGGCTTATGGTATCATAGAATCCCTACAATGTGGAAGCAGGCTATTGGGCCCATCAAGTCCACACCGACTCTCCTCAGAGAATCCCACCCAGACCCACCCCCCCTTACGCTATCCCAGTAACCCTACTTTTCCTATGGCTAATCCACCTCATCTGCATCTCCCTGGATACAAGGGGCAATTCAACATGGCTAATCCACCTAACCTGCACATCTTTGGACTGTGGGAGGAAACCCACGCAGACAGTTGCATCCCGAGAGCAATATGCATCACACAGTGTTTCTCACTACTGAGTAACCTCATGAGGATTGCTTTAAATCTAAGGAAATCAGCAATTTTCTAAATACATTATTTTAAAAGACACACCATCCTCACTACAAATAGCAAAACCCCATAGAACCTGGGGATGTTAGAACCTTTGGAAAATGATACATTAGCTTTAAATGAAGCACAGCCCATAATCTGTAATTGCCTCTCAAGTGTGACAAGAAATTAACCTTTTGAGGGCTACAGCAGGTGACACAAACATACCACTGTCAGGAATTAGGAAGAGATTTGTTAACCACTAAGTGACAATGGTTTATGTGGACCTCTGAACTGCAATCATCAAAAAAGATCGCACTGGAACGACATTAGCAGAAATGTCCCAGTCTCCCACTAACAAAGAATTTTATTATCAGAGACAAATGAGACCCACAATACAGGATGGGTCTGGTGTAATGACTGCCAGTTCAATTCCAGCTGGCAATTTGAGAACTGGAATAACACTGTTCTCAGTTAAAGTGATCACGATTTGAGGGATTGTCACTAAAGCAAACTAGCCCTCTCAGGCAGGAAATTTGCTACCCTTACCCAATCTGGAGACCTGGGTTCAAGTCCCACCTGCTCCGGAGATGTCTATAGTAACAGTATATCTGAACAGGTGGATTAAAATAATCATTACCCAGTCTGGTTTGTGTGAGATCCTCGTTTCAATCTAATTGAAATTCGACAGCCCTCCGAATGAGTGAGCCTAACAAAAGGGAATTAAACAGTGACTCAAAAACCAGGGCCAAACCATTGATGTTAGCCTTACCAGTAATGCTAACACAGAGTTAATTTAACAAAAAGCATAGCCCTTTAAAAACTAAAGAAGCGATTGGGACACAATGTGGGACTCCACAGCCACAGAAATTAGGAGTGATCATATCTTTTGCTTGACTGCAATCCGACAATACTGTGAGTAATTAAATATCCACGCAGTGAGATTGTCCCAAAAGAAACTTATCCTCTCTAATTTAGTGAGATAAGAAATGCCTAAGTGGTCGAGAGGTGGCGGGCGAACAGCGAGCCTCAGTATTGGGGAAAATATCCAATTAGTAAAATAAGGTCATACTCCCGATTTTCTCACATTCTGGTTCGTGTTTTCAAACCCTGACGCTTTTGCTCACTTGAACACATCCTTACAACAACAACAAATCAAATATTTCCCGTTGTAAGCTGATGAAATTGGTTTCATATAGGGGGGCGATTCTTACAGGCACAGGTTAAAGCAGGAGTTCACGGAGTAGAACAGAGCTTTGGGCTACTGCAAACAAGTCTCATTCTCCCCAAATAAAACTGCTTCGAATCGTCAAAAAGTGACAGGAAAGTGGTGAACAGGAGGAACTGAAATTGCAACGTACTACAGGACGACATCCAAACGAACTTAACGCCTGGCTGCTTCTTCGCAATCAAAAAGCTGCGGAATTAAAGTTGCAACAAAAAGAAACATGAAGACGAGAGGAGATATATTGAGTTAACAGTTAAAAACCGAAAGCGTTGTAAAACGATTATTACAAAGCATTGACACGTTCTGAACAATCATTTCAGTGAATTTTTAGTATATCGAAAGCTAAGGGGAGATATACTTGCCAGTCTAGTTTTGTTTATATTCACACACAAATTGGAGAAACTCAGCAGGTCCGTCAACATCTGTGGACTGTGCCTCTCACCTCAGCCTGTTCCTCTGGGCAGTGTCTCTCATCCTAGCCTTTTCCGCTTTAACTTCTTGTTTCAGGTTCTGCCTGTGTGCCGTCCTCTCCAGCGCAGAAGTTTAATCTGAGTGCGCCCATCATAGCCCCTGATCTGGCTCGGTTTCTCGCCCAGCGCCTAGTGTACACCTCTCGCCTCTAACCAGGGAGTACAGACTGCCGCTGCTGCTGTTGTGGGTGATCAGTACGTTTTTCCATTAACATTCTCCACACTCTTCAATCATCCGGTGAAGCCATCCCTTCCCCCGATGAGACAGCGTGCCTGTGGTAGAATGAGAGAGTTAAAGATGTCCTTTCTCTCTCAATGGTCTCTCTCCCACTCACAAAGAGTTGCTGCTACTGCCTCAGCCTTACCCTGCACAGGAGCCAAATGCACACTAAATCACAAGGAGAGCAAGAGAATCCAGGGAAGCGAGACGGGACTATCTGCAGGCAAGTACTCCAGTCCATTGGCTCCATTCAGTAGCTTCGTGGGGCCAGGCAGATGCAGTGCTACTGGAGCGGCGCACTACTGTTTATGTTGGAGTGTGTCTGGGTCCCAGCTCTCACGCTGGCCGAGGTTCACAGAGCATGCCATCCACCAGGAACAGGAATAGACTGCACATGTCGCTCCCCTCTGTGTGTGTGTGTGTTGGGGGGGCGGGGGGCGGAGGTGGTGTGGGAGAGATCTGGTGCAAGACTGGACCGGGTTAGTTTGTGAGGGGTGGGTGGGTTATAATTACAGAATGCAATTGAGACCGACTGTTGTGTTTGTAGGAATGTACCGGCATCGTCCAAGGAGATGAGCCGGCCAGAGGTCCCCTCTGTGAACCGGCCAACAACACAAAGCGTGCTGGGGGTCTTCCAGAACCTCGTGGCCAGCTTTATTGGAAGGGACTGCACCTCGTTTCTTCCGATGTGAAATGAAGAAGAAAAAAAAAGAACGATCCTATCATACGATTTGTGGGATCTTGCTGTGCGCACATTTCATTGACGCCTCTCTGCGACGTGGCTACAGAGCAAGAGCCATTCATTGGCTCTGGAGTTCTTTAAAGAGACCTCAGCCCAGAAACGATCCTAGTGAAATGCCTGTTCTTTCTGTTTATCAATTCCTGTATTGGGGGTCAAAGAAAAAACCAATCCGTTCAACTGTTTTCATGACCAACTGTTCCGAATAAAATGCCTGCCCTCCTATGGAAATATGGGCTCTTGTGGTACAGTGGTAGTGTCCCTACCTCTGAGCCAGGAGACATGGGTTCAAGTCCCACTTGCTGAAGAGGTGAGTAATTAAAATTACACCCAGTCAGTCTGCACCATTGTACCCTACCCTCAAAGCAGCTGTGGGGAGGCTCAGACTGTCACACATCTCTTGCTGCAATGTGCCTTTGCAAAGGAAGTCTGGAGAAAGATGCAGTGCTTTTTGTCAGGGTTCGTCCTGAACGGCTCTGTGATGCACAACTGTGTGCCTTAAGGTTCCCCGGACGCAGCCCATGACAAAAATCACCTTGTGCCTGGAGGACCATCAACTCAGTAACGAAGCTCTTTGCTTTGCCCAAACTTGTTGGTTTTCCAGAACAAGGAGTTGACCCTGACCAAGTGCTGCAGACTGGCACATGCCAAGGCCCAGGACTACATGCTCAGGGAGGCACTAAAGCTTGGGGCAGCTGCTGCCAAGGCGCACTGGGGAAAGACCATTGTCTGAGGTATTTCTGCTGAAGCTAAATGTAGGTCTGTTCAGTTATCAAGACCCCCTAGTGCCTCAATGAATGTAAATTGTCATGTATGTGTAAGAGATGCCTTTAGTTTGTTGGAATAGAGTCAAACTCAAATATTTGTTTGTTTACTTGTTATGCAACTGTATAGAACCAAAATGCATTTGTGACAATGTGTATATACAAAGAGACTTTTTTATTAATAAAACATATTTTTGAAATAAGAAAATAGTATAATAATATCCCTCTGAACAGGTTGATGATGATAGAAATGTGGACTGTTGTGGCACAGTGACAATGTCACTACCCCTAGCCTAGGAGACCCAGGTTCAAGTCCCACCTACTCAAGGAGTCCGTAATACAATCTCGGAATAGATTGATCAGGAAATAAAAATCCACGCAGAAATGTAAGAGCTCTAGTGGTGCCGTGGTAGTGTCCTTACCTCTGAGCCAGAGGGTCCAGTTTTATGTTTCACCTGCTCCAGAAGTGTGTACAATAAAAACATCTCTGATCAGATGGATTAGAAAATATTTACATAGAAATGTAGGATTACATTGTCCTTAACAGGTTTTACATGCAAAGTGATTTAGTGGTGGCAGTCAATAGATTAAAATACGCTGGGTGTATTGATGGTGTGAAAAAAGCTGTTCAGTAGCTTCAAAATCTCCCCACTCCCCGACCAGCTCATCTTGTCACCGCCTCTTTGACCTGTCCGTCTTTTCTCCTGCCAACCGCTTCTCCCACCTCACTGACCAACCCCACCCCCACTTCCTACCTACTAGCCTCATCCCCGCCTCCTTGACCTGTCCATCTTCCCTCCCACCTACCCACCCCTCCCTCCCTCCCACTGACCAACCCCCATCCCAACTTCCTACCTACACTCACCTGTACTGGCTTCATCCCCGCCTCCTTGACCTGTCCGTCTTCTCTCCACCTATCTGCTCCTCTATCCACTTTCCATCATCGTCTTCCCCTCTCTCTATTTAGTTCAGAGCCCCCTTCCCCTCCCCCATTTCTGAAGAAGGGTCCAGACGTGAAACATCAGCTTTCCTGCTCCTCTGATGCCGCCTGGCCTGCTGTGTTCATCCAGCTCCACACCTTGTTATCTCAGACTCCAGCATTGGCTGTTCCTACTATCTCTTATATTCAGTTGTGTGTTAGAATGCTCCTGGATAAAGGAAAGGAAAACATATGCAGAAATATCAGAGCCATCGTGGTGAAGTGGCAATGTTAGTACCTCTGAACCAGGGGACCTGGGCCCCAACTGCTCCAGAGGTGTTCAAAACACTTCTGAATGGGTTTTTTTAGAAAACATCTATATAGAAATGCACCATTTCAGTTGGACTGCTATTTCCTTCTCAATTGGTATATCCTCAGTAATATTCTTCAAGTAGCCATCAGATTGAATGCGATTTTGCTGCAGAATTTAATTAATATTGCATTGCTGCATATGAGCATTATTACAAATACGACACATTAACTACAGGAAACCTCTCTGTGCTGAGTAAAATGTAACCCACATTTAACCTGATATCTCCTACATTACAACAGTGACTAGACTTCGAAAGTACTTGGTTGATGATAAAATGTTTGGGATCTGATGAGATTGTGTAAGGCGTAAGTCCTTCTTTTAATAGCTCAAATTACTATTCACTTCCATTTTCACTCGATCAGACCATTTTAAATGTGTTTCCTTCTTGACGCTTGTTCTAATTCCTGAATTACTGCTCCAGGAGAAACATTTCTCTTCAGGATCTGAGATCACATCTTGCCTTTAGCCAACATCTCTGAAAAACAGATTCATTCGTCACTCATTTCTGCTGGTGAGATTTTGCGGTGTGTGAAAATGGCATCTCTCCTTGCCCCCAGGAGTGTTGGACTTTACAACTGCTTAATTTATATAATCGCCTGGAATGTTTTAGAGAAGTGCGATCAATGCCGACAGGAACGTAAGTAATTAATGATCTTTGCTTGGCAGTTGGTCCCTTATGTCACTTATTTCTTAATGTATTCAGTGAATGATGATTCCAAATAAGAGGGAAAAAATATTACATTTCTAAAGTGCTTTTAATGATCTCATGATGACCCTGTGCACTGTACAGCTCATCAAGGACTTTTCAAAGTGCAGTCACTGTTACAATGTAGGAACCATGGCAGTCAATATATGCACAGCAAGATCCCACAAATTGCGGTGTGACAATAATGTTCACCATTCATTGTTTGTTTTTGACTAGTACAACTCCCCCAGCTTTCTTTGAAATGGCCCCATAGTTTGTTTTAAATGTCATCTGATTAGTAGCCTGGCCTTGCCCCACTATTTGCCCACTCGGCTCTTGAGTTTATCTTTAAATGAATCAAACTTTCCAAGACCTTCTTTAATGGTGGTTGCCGAGATTGTGGCTTTCCACCACCTCCACTGGTTGTACATTGTTCCTTTTGGATTATAGGTGCCAACATGAAAGACGTCTCAGCCAGGCATGGTGAGGCACTTTGCTGGCCTGGCTGAACAGAGAGGAGACGAGTTCACTTGCATGCATTCCTTCTCCTGATGGTGCCTTTGGAAGAGGGAAATCTTCCCTGTGGAAGAAGAGTGGGTGCAAATGTCAATCAAACCTTGAATCTGAGCTCCAGTCTCTTAAGTGAGAGCACAATGAGTGAAAGTCTGAGAGATTAAACCACCCACGGGGCTTATTTTTAGTTTACCAATAGGTGCCAGCACATGTAAGTGGATTGCTTGGGAATTGTGCAGTACTTTCAGTGATGAAGAGGCATTTTTATCCTTTATGAGGTTTATTGGGTATTTAATTATCACTCATGCAATGCCATAAGCAAAGATAAGGTTAGATTAAACTGCATAAAACTCATGAGTAATTGGTAAATGCTGAGCTTAGTCAATTGCTTTGTAAAGGTTATTGAGCAGTATTTAATTTCTGAATGTTTGATATCTTAGGGTTATATCCGTTTTATTTTGAATGATGTTACCTATTATGATTTGGGCTGCTTTTACAGTTCTGTTGCCTTGGATCCCTTTGATGTTTAAAACACAATGGCTGAGTTTTTTATGTTGAAATAATGGTGATGCTATGGTAAACAATGTTATCCATGTGCAAGTCATACAGCAACATTAGACCAGGCGTAAACACATAGTGAGACCCCACCGAGAAAACATATTGTATGAGTTGAGCAATTCCGAAGATAACTTGGCAAGAACAGCACCCCTGTCTTTCTCACCATTGCCAAACAATGAGTAATGTATGCAAGTTTTTAATCCATCCAGAAAGTTAGTGTGGATCCATTTCGGTCTAAGAACCCTTTTGGTCATATGATTTTTTGAATTCATTTATGAATTATGAGTGCTTTTGACAAAGCCAGAATTTATTGCTCATCCCTAATTACTTTTGATACTGCCACCTTCATATACTGTTGCAGTT